GACCAGGCTGGTCTCGAACTCCCAGAGATCCGCCTGCCTCTGCCTCCCGAGTGCTGGGATTAAAGGCGTGCACCACCACCACCCGGCGATCTGATCAAATTTTAAGAAAGTTCACAAAGTATTTTTCCTGAAAGAACATGCAATGGGACTATATTAATATTATATAATATGATATATTATTATATTATACAAGAACAACTGTTATAGCCAGGCAGTGGTGGCACATGCCTTTAATCCAGCACTTGGGAGGCAGAGGCAGGCAGATCTCTGTGAGTTCAGGTCTAGTCTGGTCTACAAGTGCTAGTTCCAGGACAGGCTCCAAAGCTACAGAGAAACCTTGTCTTGAAAAACAAAACAAAAAGCCCCCCAAAGGAAATAGTGTTATCAATAATTAATATTATTAACTATATTAATATTAAATATTAATATAATATGGATATATATATTCAAAACACATATTTCCTTGACAGCATAGACATATCCAAAAATGAAGATGCCTTTCTTCATCTCTAAACCCCAAGAGGTACTTGGTCTGTATTTCAATAAGACAGCAATGGGCACAGATACCACAGAGGCTTGGCACATGGCGAAGTCACAGGCGTTTTCTGTACCCCACACTGGTATTTTGAAATGAACTCTCCTTTACGTCATCACCCCCAGAGTTTGATCAGTTTCCTATAATGTTCACTTTAGCTATAAATACCTTGATTCTCCCCTTTTATTACCATTGTGTTTCAGACTGCCTTTATTGATTTCTGGGTACTAGCTTAACATCGTGGCAGCATCCTGGATCCAGATTCAACTCTGGTTCCTAAGCAGATATGGGCTTGAGTGATTTAACTTTTCTATGCCTTACCTTCCTCACTCTAAAAATTCTCATAATCATGACTCTCATATGAGAGTCATATTATACACATATACACAATATATATTATATGCATATATATGTATGTATATAATGAGCACTTGACATAAGGAGAGGAGTTAGCATAATAGATGAAACTTGGCAAAATTTCAAAACATCTATGCACACACACACACACACACACACACACATAGGACTACACATTTGTCCCCACAACAGTTGGTATTTGCACTAGAAATTTTTAGTTACAGTCAAAATATCCAATGCCAGAAAATAGAATAAATAAAAGATGAAATATTCATCTGATGTTTGGATGATATATGGATAATAAAGAAAGTGATTCAGTACAAGTAGATGGTATGAATATGGGATATTTGTTGCACAAAAAGGACAGCAACAGAGTTAGTTTCCAATACTTAAAAAGTGCGTGATCCTTGAACCTTAACATATAAACACATTTCATCACATACAAAACTATTTTGCCTTGACACCATTTTCTTGGCTGTCTTTCTATTCTACCATAACCATCTAGATTCTCATCCTTCCTCCTGGACCTGGTTAGACTTTTCATCTGAGCCTAATCCTTCTATGCAATAGTTTCCATGGACAAAACCACTGAGTGTTTATTTTACCTCCCATAGGCTTGTCCTCATCTACCTTGGGGCTATTAGAATTCCTTTCTTTAGCAAAATCAAATCCAGTTTCTCTCCTTTGTCATCTTTCCCAGTAGCTGACTGACCGCATGTACCAGGGATGCTTTTCCTTACTCTCTTCTTCCTCTGACCACTTCTATAGGTCTTCAACCCACTCCTTGATTGTATATCAGCCATCAGTACTCTAGTAACTTGGAATTCCCAGTCCCCTTTTCAACCCTAGCCTCCACAGTGCTTTAAACGAAGATCATGCTTAGAAATTCAACTCCTTACCTGGTATCAACTCTGCTTTGTGAGAGAATATATCTTTCAAAATCTCTAAAAAGGGGGGATCATTGGATAAGGTTACCTTCACCCACAGGGTCTGTGTGTTATTAACCCTGTTCTGTTCATCTGTCCTTCATGCCCACGTACAAATGACTGCCCAGTTCTATGTTCTCCTGTCCATCCATGGGGCTGTTCCTCAGAGACATCTTCATTTTCCATCTTGGGCTGTTTTAATATCAGCTTCTCAAACCTGCCAGATGCTGTGTTTGATTAATCCAAACCTGTCCTTGTTCCTTCTTGCATGGAAACCTTCTCTACAGCATCACCACTACTTGGGGAATGGGACTTGCACCTCCTAAGTCAGCTCAGTGGGCCTGTAACATGTCCTTTGTATGATTTCTCCACCTTCACCACCCATGCCCTTCCTGCTCATGTGAACTGACCATCATATCAAACACCACGAAAGTCCTTCAAATGAAACCGAAGATTATTTGCCTGCATGTCTTTGCCTCTTATGTTGCCTTCGATTGGAATATTATTCTGTTGTCTCTACCTAATAAACTACTCATTTATCAACAACTTTGAGATCCCATCTTTGATGTCTTATGGACAAATTACAACCAGGTTAGTTCAGATTCTCACTATCCTCAACCATTTTAACGTTTTTCATTTTATGAAGCGTCATTTATTTTCTTCCTTTAAATGAATGTTAGCTGATGCAAACAGCAGCCCCATCTGTTTCTATTCAATGTTTGAAACTCTGGTGAGATGGTAAATTACTATAAACCATAAAGTCAGAGGTCAGACCTATTATCTGAAGGATGGAGCGTCTGTCAACTATTTGCAAGGGATGGAAGGGCCAGAAAGAAAAGAGGAGCTTCTCTCCAGACTCCACCAATCCATGGGTCTATCAGAGATCTTTTCAAAACAAAATGAATGAAGTCATCTTAAAGCTTTTGCAACACTGATTCTTTGTTGACTGTGATACTGACAGAAGTCTGTGGATGAAAGGATTTCCCTGATAGCTGGGCAGATAATGAGAGAGAGCTTGGCAAGGGCTCTGCTTGCTGTGCCTACCCTATATCTAGTAGTATAAGATTCTACAAAGAGAATTATGGTGATCTTCCACTCCAATATCACTGGCTAAAATCAGATCACATAGGTTCTAATTTCTACGGCAATTTCAAGATCTTATAATTCACCTATGCTTGAGTATCTCGCTTTCTTGAAAGCATATTAACCAAGCCACCTATACATTCCCTTAAAGCCAACAGCTCCAAATAATTCATACATGGTCAGGTGTATCTGAGACCTTTATGGTAAAAGAGTGGCCTTTTTTCTTCAATCTGCACTCATTTCCCCCCCGCCCCCCACTATACTCTGAGGACAGTATCAGGATAGTATTGCTTTAATGAGTTCTTCCAATATACAGAAAGGGCAGTACTGTTCCCTCTAAGATATGTCTTCTCCAAACAATTTCTCTGGGTTCTTCACTGTTCTTCATGTAACATGATTCTTCCCGAGTGATACTCAGCTGTACAGGCTTCCCTTACAGTGTGGTGTCTAAGGACAATGTAAACCAATCAAAAATACTGAGAACTGAACAGTCTCCCTGTAAAGGCCCTATTCTCTATATAAAGCATGATGTTGAGCAGATATTTGCGGTACTCACCCTATATGATGTGTTTACACCAAATCACAATCTGAACTCTTATATTTTCTATTAGTTTTAAATTCTCACAACTTCTAAATTACACCCCCGCAGAGGACTTTGAACTCGGAAAGCAATAGTCTTGGCTTACTGTCTGAACTACTCTCCCACTCACTAAGTGTGGGACTGAACATAGCAGAATCTAGTTAGCCACAGTCCTGTGAATACAGTAATATATTTGTTCCATTCTGTATAGAATGTGTAACAGAGATCCCAATCCTGAACAATGAGTGTGTTGGAAAAAAAAAACGATAAAAACGAGGTCTAAGGAGAAATCTGATCCTTTTTGTATCATTAAAATGAACCTGGAGTCACTGTACAGATAAACTCTAAATATTGTGTATGCAGCATTCTTCGTGGTGGATCAAGAAACACCCTTCTGGGATAACAACAGTCATTAATGAAAATCAGAAACAGCATAAGCAAAATTAAGGCACGATGCTGCAGGGCCTTACATTTTCAGTTGTGAGCTATGATTTTTCACACAACAAAATTCTTACAGGAGGCCTATGAGAAGAACACATTTCTTGACTTGATCCAGTAGACTTGTCAGACCTAGGTGGAGACCATGAGTACTTCCTTGAACGCATGTGGCCAGGATGCCCAAGCTACCCATGAAGGGTCTGGAGAATTAACTGTGATGGCCCCCGATTTTTCTCAAGAAGAGACTCAGAGCAGATTCCTAATATATAAAATTTAGGGGATAACTTTCTAGATCCAGCGCTAACTTGGGGCTATCTTCTGGCTACTCCTTTGCTTGGCTCTGAAAGGGTAACTATCTAGAAAGCATAGCAACATCGTCTAAAGATTAGCCCAGACAGTGGAGACCAGAGATTATTGGAAGATTGATAAATCAGATGCTGAGCCGGGGCTGCATCTTCTCTGCGTAAAAAGAACCACAGCCGCATCCTCGCACCTCTCCCATTGTTTGCCATGAAATGCGCCAGCAAAACCAATTATTATCAGAGCCCTTTACTTAAACAGAGGCTGAAAAATTCACACGAAAGCAGTTTTCTAATTTGAAGAGGCAAACATTAGGACTGAAAGCAGTTAACAAATACAAACTCAAGTGACGAACTGAAGTTTGGCGACACACACACACACACACACGGAAATGCCACAGTACGTTCAAGGCACAACTCTGCTCTTTGCGAAGCGATATGTAGCTCAGAGGACACAGCACACACATGAGCACTCACAAACACAGCACACACATGATCACTCTGGGAACAGCCCGCTACTACACACTGTGCATCAACTAAGTGCAATCACCTAAATGATTACACCACAGATAATACTTGCCCTCCCTTTCTCATTAATTCTCTCTCAAGGAATGGCTTTCTAAAAAGAAAAAGAAAAAGAAAAAGAAAAAGAACAAACTCTTAAGAATTTGTGCGTCCCCAAATAAAATAACGACAATCAAATACATATCAGAAATTAAAGACATGTGTTAGAAGATAACAAATACGAGATTCTCTTGGTAAGATTCTCTTTTGAGAGGTACCTGCAAAATGTGGCTTCCCAGGTGTGCTTCAAATACTTCGATGGCCAGTGCGCTGGGACTTCGCCTTCGCTGGGCACCTATAACTTGAAAGAAAAGAGAAGGAGAGAGAGAGAAGAAGAAAAATAATTAAGTTGGAGCTCTGATTTCAAACTTTCAGCCTAATCTCTCTCCATTTGCATTACCACTCTGTTAAACACTAATGATTTCTGGAGGAAACACTAGCCACTGTCAGTTTGGGTTCTGGGTTGTTTGGACCTAAGTGTAAGTTTGGGCTGGATATAAGTATCTTCAAACTTCAAACAAACAAACAAAAACCCATAACATCCCAGACTTAAAATTTTACCTTTTAGATATTTTATCTTATACTGAGGCAAAAATATACACATTTTTGTATTTCTTCAGAACCAATGGATACAGTTTTGCTATACATTATGACATTGCTGTTTTTAAATACTGATAGCAATAGCCCTACCGCCCACTCCACACCAGAGCATGATAAACTCTTGAATCCCAAACAAGATGCATCTAGTATTTTCTAATGTTTAAGTTATCACAATTGAGAAGGAATCAGGTAAGGGGTACATACACTGGTGTGATGTGTCAAGAAGGGTGACTTTCATATCTCTGAGGACTCTTGTGACTATTCTAGAAGCCAGCACGGTTCAGATGGACCCTGGTCATCAGTGGCTGTCTCTGGTTTGGAGATGCCAAACATCACCGTTCTCCTTCCCAAGATTCAGCTTGCTGGCACCTGCCACTCAAGGAGACCTCATAACGAAAGTGCACTTCAGACACAGCCTGGATAGAACCCAGAATTGCGGGTCCATTCTTTCCAGGATCTTAAGTGTGCAATGCCGGCTTGCTGTGCTATGAGTGTTTATTTTTTCTTCCAGGTTCCCAAAAATCATAAACACGTGTTTGCTTTGCCGAGACTTAGGAAAGGATATGTTCAGAGATTTTCTACATTTCAGACAAGAAAGGTTCTCCATGTCCGCCTGCTTCTTCACTCCCAGGTACTAAATGAAAACGAAGTCAAAAGCCCTTGCTTTCTTACAGCTAACCCTCTTTCAGCTGGTAGACAGACAGTTCTGCAGAATGGTGCTGGAGGAATGCCACTTCATTTTGGTGACCACACCAATCACTTCTACCAAAAGCTGAGTAGGGCAGCAACACCAATGCCCATGACTGTTGTGCCATGTAGACACAGGAAGCCTACTCTAATTACCGAGAGGAACTATCCAAAAGGCATGTTGAAAATAACATGAAAGCCACGTGCCACTACTGCCGCCAGAGAAAAAAAGAAAGCGATATTTTCTCAATGGGGAAATTTATAAAATATAAATTGAAGAGTGATGATTATTAAAGAATATTCCAGCTGGAAACCCCAGAGCCAGCTCTCTGTTTCCTTCAGAGGTAAAACATATAACTAATCATTTTCAAATGGGAAGAACCTCATTTCTCGGCTGAGATAAATCTTTATCATAGGTGCAGACATAGGATTTTACTTTTTCATATTTAAATACGTTTAAGTAGCACTGCTGTGTATGTGTGTGCATGTGCTTCTGATTAATTTTCTATTCTAACACGCACATTACTCCCTTCAAAACTCCTTTGGCATTTTTGATAATGCAGCTGTCTTGCTGAATACTGTTTTCAGTTGCTAGAGTGTTAATTGCACATTATGGTAGCTTGGTGTGAATGATCCCACATGAATAAAATCTGCAGCCTCTTTTTTTTTTTTTTTAAGATTATGGGGATGGGTGGTTTGTAGGAGGGAGAAGAGGAGAGCTGAAAAACTTCGAAAATGTCCACTCCCTTTTTGAGGCAGTAATTATGATTTGGAGTTTATTAATAGTTCAGAATTTGGGGGAGATTTTTGATTACAAGGCTCAAAATAAATAACTGCATGCCATTTAAAGAAGGATTAATGCTGGGCTTTAGAGCATATAAACTACTCTAGGAATAACTCAATAAGGTGAGATTAAAAGTGCTTCAGCCAGTGCCTTCAGAGAGCCCTCCTGCTTCCCAGGGAATGTAAGGAAGCCTTATTTACTAGAAGGCCCGCATGGCAAGCACTAGCAACAACAGATGGCAACTCAAATGCTTCTAGAAGCCCAGAAACAGTTGTCTTGAATAACACACAGGGAGTATTGCGAGCCTGGATTCCACGGGCCTTTCTTTTCCCGCGTCTCCTTCACCAGGACTCAGGTCACTCTACAAATGGAGATCTTCCTCAGGTCTCGCATCCTTGACTCTGACCCAGGCAGTTGTTCTTTGTTCTCCAAATCCTCCGGAACCCTCAGCATGCATCCCGCACACACTAGCATAATATATCCCAGTATCCTGTAAGTGGTTACATGCTATTCTACTCAATGGCGTTTTTATGACACTGGAACTTCTCTTGATTTATCTGTTTTGCACTTATGCAGGTGATGTGGGGCTGTAATGACAGCTCCTAATTTTACAACCCACATAAATATGTTAAACAGGAGCCCGTTACGTCTCTGGTAGGAGCCCTGCTTTAACTCTGGCACTATGGGTAACTGGATAGATGTTAAATATGGGCTTCTGCACATCTCCTTTGGTACTCGGCATTCTAAGAAAAGGTAGGCTTCTATCACTGGGACAATGGAAACAGTTATTTTGTTTTTTCTGCATTAATGTCACTGAGTGTGCAGTGTATCATTAATGCCAAGAGGAACTAAAAGGCATGACCTCAATGCTTTATGAACATAAAAAAGAAGAGTAACTTCTCTTCTAAAAGGTTACACTTTCCAAGCTCATTTGGTAGCTCCCACACAACGGTGTCAAGGTAGATACTAGGTTTTTTTTTTCCTATCCCACCTGCTGATATACTTCATTTATCGGTTTATTTAGTTAAGTGACTACTTTCGAAACTGAAAGAGTACTAAATTAATAAAACCACCCATAAGCAGGACATTACTAAATAAATGGAGTCTACTTTCCATTGCCTGTGGAGATTGCCACTATCTCACAAGAGAGAGATGAATCGTTTGAATGGCATACACAAAATACTCAAAGAAAGCAAGCACACCATATAATTCAACTTTAAACTCTAGCCACCATCTGCTAAGTGCCCACTGGATGCTGAAAACCTCTAACTAGGAAATGGAGACTAGTATTGGAGCTCAGTAAACAAATACGAGAAAACCTGTTGCCGAAGACAAGTCCCAGTACAAGATTATCCTTCCAAGGCATCCTCTCTCACATTTTATGCAGGCTAAAAAGGCAGCACCCAGAGTGTTAGGGCTTTTTAAAGGCAGACAAGTACAGGGGAAAACATTCTTTTCCAAAGAAATCAGCCTAGGAAATCCTGGTCTTAGGTTTCAGAAATCCACAAGTATAAGAAGCTGTGAGGATGAGGCACTCGGCCTAGCTCTCATCAGAAGGAAGAGGGCATTCAGGGAAACCACTTTCAAACACAGACTTAAGAAAATTAGCTTTGCCCCTCAAGAATGTCAGCCAAAATCTTGTACTCTGGACCCTGTTATAAACATACATGGTGATCTCTAAGAATTGATTCTGTGTAGCAACAGCAGCAACAACAATAACAAAAAAATCGTCTTTCAAAAATATATCCCACCTGCCCAGTCATGTTCTGAACTGGTGCTCCACGCCTCCAGGGAGAAAGTGAGGAAGGCTGGGGATTAACACTCAGTAGGAGTTTGACCTATTCAGCCAAAAGGTCAACTTGCCATGGAAGGATCCATTAGAAGTGGAAACAGGACAGCTCAGTAGACACACATAATGAAAGGGGAGAAGTCATGGGCTCTGGTTGCCTTGAGGCCTGTTTTGCCCTTTTCCTTCCTAGCCCTCTGCATGCAGGGCCCTTACTAGCACAGTTCATAATGCATGGGGCAACCCCAGGCAGAGAGCTGCAGAGAGCCTGCTGCCAAACAAAGGGTTCAGTCAAGAAAGGAGAAAGGTCTTCCACCGTGAAGAATGTCACACACGGGAAAGTAGGCCCTGGTTGACAAGAAGCTCATTGGAAGTTGATCTCAGCCCATCTCGTAAGTCAGTGATCCAGTGCCCAAGGTCAATGCTGCCCTTACGTTCGACTGCCAACATCTTAAGACTGGACCCTTCCACCTGGAGAAAAGGCAAGCTTTGTGCCTGGCCACCATGCATGCAGCCATCTGAATCCTTCATGCATGGAGCAATCTCTGTTTCCACACCGAGATTGGGGAAAAGGTGGGCTAAAGAACAAACTTAAAGGCATCTCCAGACCTCATTCCCTGAGCACTTGGGCTCAGCAAAGTCAGAGTTTGGGAGAGGATGGAAGAAAGAATGCTTAACGAGTCTTTCCAGGGCTACTAAGGACAGAAAAAGAATTTCCCTTGAAGAATCTCAATTAATGTTCCTAATTGAGAATCAAATATAGGTTTGATTCCCAGCACCCACAGGGTGGCTTAAAACCATCTGTAACTCCAGTTCCAGAGGATCTGATACCCTCTTCTGGCCTTCACTGGCACCGGGCATATATGGGTGCACATGTGTACATATAGGACAAATACTCATGTATATAAAATGAAATAAAATAAATAATTTAGAGATTTTAAAAATGATTACAAGAAGAAACCTCCCCTACATGCTGGAACTTATTGTTAAATCCACATTTTAATAAACTTTTTTAAAGTTCCTAATCCGAATCCCAGAACCTATCACACGTTATCAAGTGCTATCAATCCAGGAAAACGAGGCAGTTAATTCAAGGAAATAACTGAAACTTTAAGCAGTCTTGTGCTAATTGGAAAGTCCTCTGATGCAACACATTTAAATTTCTCCCCCATGTGAATTGGATGCATTGGGGAAATTTAAGGATGGGTTGAGTACCTTGAAAGAATCATGGATGATATATATATCACATATATAGGACTGAAAGTCTTAGTGCTTACAAATGGGGTGCTGAACTGGGGGGAAGGAAACCACGCATGCTTGGCCCCAAACTACCACTGCACCAGGGAAGTACATGCATTCAGGAGGTCTGGTTAAGTGAGGCGAATGCTTCTACTTCTCACTTTAGGAACTGACTGGATTCCTGCGATGTTTGCAAAACTGTTTG